ATCCAGGAGGAATAAAAGCATGGATGGAGAAAGGAACCAGAGTGTTCTGCGTGGCTCCTCCAGGCCAGGTTCCTGAGCTCAGCAATCTGCATTTTTATCACGCTGATTTATTTTTGCTTTTGATTACGAAATATTTCAAATTCGCAGAAGGGTACAGAAAATGACATTGTGGCTACGCATGTAAGTGCACCTAGCTAGAGCAGGTGTCAACATGTTGTCGCCTTTCTTCCCATCCCTTCCGAGGTCTTTCTCAGCATCGGGACCTTCAATACTTGAAGGGATTGCTTGGAGACCTGTGGTAGAAGGCCAGCTAGCACACTTTTGAAACCAAATAAGCAAGCAAGTCAAAACAAACATTTGGCTTCCAAGAAGGCCGATTGTGATGTGATTCTTGTTTTTATTTCTTTTAATGTGTGTGTGTGTGTTTTTAATTTTAATTTATTTAAGGAATCTCTACTCCCAACATGGGTCTTGAACTCGTGACCTCACTGAGATCAAGAGTCGCGTGGTCTTCCGACTGAGCCAGCCAGGCGCCCCGGATTCTTGCTTTTAGTATCAAAAATATTTTAATTTCAAAAATTATTTTCAAAAATATTTTAACGATTTTTTTTATTATAGAGAATTTCACTCCTTTATCCCCCTCTTTACACGACTGTTTCTGTTTCCTCGTGCTCTCGTGCATTTTCCTCCTTTTTATGAAGTTGCAATCATAGTTTTTTTATGTAATTCTGAGTTCTATTTCCCCTGTGTCATGGCCACAAAATATTATTTCATAAACTTCCATTTTACTCCACGGTTAGCATCCACGGTAAATAGTAATGCTTGCTGGCCATTCCGTTGAGCTTATGTGCCCAAATTTCCTTTGGGGGAAATATCATTTCCATTGGCTTTCAGTTCACTCCTCTTTCAATTCCACATTATGATCATGAAGATCTATTAGATACATAGAATCGAGCCGATCATGCTCCTAATTTCATGGCACGTAATCACCATCATTCTCTGCTGAAGTCCCCCTCTTTTATTATTTTGTTTTATTTTGTTTTATTTTGTTTTATTTTGTTTTATTTTGTTTTATTTTATTTTATTTTATTTTATTTTATTTTATTTTTTTATTTTCCTGTCTTTTCACTCCTGGTCGCCAGTCTCATTCTTTTCCTTGCCTCTGGTAGATTCACTATATGCTTTCCTAAATGACTTTCAGTAAGTTTCTTTATATGTGTGTCCATGACAAACGTATAGTATTGCTTTCTATTTTAGAAAATGTATTTAATAGGTATTGTGCCCCAAATCAATTCTGTTTCTTACTTTTTTTTTCCAGCCAGCCCCTAGTTTTGAGATCAGTCCATGTTGTCGTATGTACAGCCGACTCCCTCCTTCCCCTGTGCTTTGTTCTGCTATCTACTGTATTGGTGATGTGCGTTTTCCTTAACTTTACTTTCACATTTTTTTAACGTTCACTCATTTTTGAGGGACAGAGAGAGACAGAGCGTGAGTGGGGGAAGGGCAGAGAGAGAGGGAGACACAGAATCCGAAGTAGACTACAGGCTCTGAGCCATCAGCACAGAGCCTGATGCGGGGCTCAAACCTACAAACAGTGAGATCATGACCTGAGCTGAAGTCGAACGCTTAACTGAATGAGCCACCCAGAGGCCCCTTTTCTTTCACAGTTTTTGATGGACAAATTCATGGTTTCTAACTTCTGGAACCCCCAACGCTGTACTCAACACACTACTATATGGTCTCTTGGGCATCTGAGAGAGAATATTTGGAGGATATAGACTCAGGAGTAGAAAAACTGCGTCTGAGGGCAATGGTGTGCTCAGTTTTACAAAATCCTGCCAAATTGCTCTCCAAATGAGCACACATGGTTCCATGAGCAATGCATGAGAGTTCGTGTTTTTCTACATCCTCACCAACAAATGATTTTATCAAAGTTCTGAAACTTTTGACAATCCGATGGGTTAAAATAGTATTTCAGGGTTGTTTACCTTTGCCTTTCTCTGATGCTAGTGAGGGGTCAGTTTTCTGTGAATTGCATAGAATTCAAGTCCATTTTCCTACTGGGTGTCCTATCTTTTTTATCCTCTCAATTGTAGGAGCTCCACTGACACGCTAAAAGTGCAAAACTTGCCTGATCCTTTTCTAGTCACATTAAAAATGAACTGTGAACAATTTACCTATGTCCGGAAAAACTGACCCATAAGGTCAAGTATTTGTTGCCGTAACATCACCTGTCAATGTCAAAGCCGGGAGAAGAGAAAAGGTCACAAGAGGGGAGGCGCTCGGAGCTGCAAACACTTGAGCTTTTATTTGCAAGTGAGAAAAACTGAACTCATATTTAAGTATAAAGGAGAATTGTATTGACTCACAAAAATTCAGGGCCATCAGACTTCAGGCAATGGTGGGATAGAGGGGTTTAAACACATCATGTTTTCATCTCTGGGTTCTGCCTTCTGCATTGATTGACCTTACTCCTGGACAGACTTCCTGGCTTGTAACAAATGGCCCCGGGGGCCCTTCAGGCTGGTGCTTGTGTTCTCTGCAGCAAGGGGAGTGCTTTGATCCCATTAAGGGCTGAGGGGGAGTTTGTACTCAAACAAGATTACTGAGACCCTAATCAGCAAAACAAAATCAAAATGTGACTGTAGTAAAATTCATAACTCTAATTTATAAATTCTTTTCTAGTCACATTAGTGACTGTAGTAAGTTACAAATTCTATATTCTACGAAGCCCAATTCTTCTTTATGCTTTACAAATTAAATTACAAGTCTTATCATCTATTTATAAACCTAGCAAATTTCAGCAGTCACTTTTAAGAGTGCTTGTATAAGCTAATAAAATTCCCTTAAACATTTAAACTGCATTAATAAATTTAATATATTTAATTTCCTTTGAAGGCCTTCAAATGTCTGATTAACAAACAAACCTTCCCAAGTTCTTAGATACTATTCTGATAAATCACGTACATTAAAACGGTACATTTGGGGAATCATAAATTCTCCTAAGTGTTCTTACACTGTTCACAACAGGAGTCAACTTCTCTTGTTCCTTTCATCCTAAAAACACAAGTCTAAATCGATTACCCAAATGCCTTTTTACTTTGGAGTGACTAGATTCATCTGTTCAGTACTCAGATTCTCTTATGCATTACCAATGCTTCAAATATCCAATGAGTACAGATTGCTTTTTTTTCCATATTTAATGAGGTTGTATATAACCTGAAGTCTTGGTCAGGGCGTAAGATGGCGTAGCATGCTGGAGGTATGTTTCTCACCATCCAGACAGACAAACAGAGCCCTCTTTGATGACCGTTAAACCAAGAGAGACTTCCAATCCGTGTGTGCCAATGGGATGGCCTTAGAGCCCTCTTCAAATTATACATTATTTAATTCTGAAATGAGATTAGAGATACAAACCCCTACCCAGATGCTTTCAACATTTGATTGGGTTCAGTGAACTATTAACTTTGATTCTGTTCTGAATTCTTTACGTATCCTTCTGATTTAGCAGGACCAAAACTCTAACAATTTTTCGTAAATACATCCCATTGGATTCTGCACACCTCTAGAGTTTCGGTCAGGCTCTGTAGTCACAAATCTAAGGTCATACTAATGACATTCCACAGAAGAAAAAGCCTCTTTCCAAGTGGAACTTACAATTGTAGGTGAGAGCACTTGCTTGGTTCCGTTTGAGTCACGTGCCCACAGAAATAATTTCTGTACCGTAGGCTATGAGATATTTGGAATAGCCTATCTTGAGAAAGAGACTTTCTCTTCCTTATGTTCACATTAGGAGAAAAACGTATATTTAATACATACATTCATAATTAACTGAACATAACTATATACAAATGTGTCTATGTGTATCTTGTAGGGAGTTTTATGGTAGATAAAATCATGATACGAAAATATCTACATGTTCTTTTTTTTTAAAGGACAGATGTTGAATTTTTTCTCAGATTGTGAATTTTGACAATTGCCTTTCAGAAATCATAAAGATGATCATACTATTTTTCCATGATTTATTAAAGCGCTAAGTTAGATTTCAAAATGGTAAATTATATTAGATTCTCTAATATTGAAACTTTCATCACTAGTATGAATCCCACCTAAAATCACGTGTTATTGCTTTCAAGTCCTGACAGAATCTTCTGGCTACTATTTTCTTCTATTAGATTGATAATTATAATTGAGATTCCCCTATAATTGTCTTTTCCATGCATTTTCTTTGTCAGGTTCGGGTATTATTTGTTAACTCTGATTTTCAAAAAAAAAGACAAAGAAAAAAAAGGAAGATTTTCTCCTTACTCTATGCTCTGGAACAATTTAAACTAAATTGGGACCATCTGTTCCTTAAAATGTTGATAGAATTATTTCCCTTTCATTCTCTCACTGTCTTTTCTTGCAACTTTCTCTATTCCTTCCATGATAATTGGCTTAGAAGCTCTGTGCTGTCTACACTGTCTTTTGGTAATTCTCACTTTCTGATAAAGTCATTAGTTACATACAGATTCTCAAAATTATTGGCTCAGATTTGAGCAGAGTGTTCTGTAATTTGTCAAATATCTTTGAGCCAGATCATTTTTGCATCTTCCTTATGCCTATGTAATTCCTACCCCTTTCACTGATTCGATCAGACCAGGGTTGATCAGCCTTGGCACCACTGATGTTTTGGGCCAAACAGGCCTCTGTCGTGGGGCCTGTCCTGGTGTTGTAGTAGAGGCCCAGGCAAGCATAAGGTCCTCCTCCTTCTCCTCCAGCTTTACTCCTTCCTATCCTGGCATTGGAGTCTGTTTTGCAACAGCCCTACCTCTACCCGCCAGATACCAGTAACACCAGCTGTTACCCTGTTGCGACAACCAAAAATATCTCCAGACATTGTCAAATGTCCCCTAGGGAAGGGGACGGGCAAAATCACCCACGTTGAGAACTCCTGGTTTAGACAATCGTTTTTCTAAATTTTTAAAATTTCATTTTGTATTTAAAGAAACAACCATTGGATCCCTTAAACTTACAAGTAGGGAAACATGATGACTTCGGATGATGCCTGAATCATCACTGCTTATGTGACACAAATTTTTGAGTGGGTAAAGGTTGCCTCTGGGGTGACCCGCCTGCTTTGCGGAAGCCTTGGAGTTGGTGATCTGTCTGTCCGTCTTTAACCCTGAAAGAGTAGACTGGTATGAAGGTAATAAACGAGGTGGAGAAGGGGAAAAAAAAAAGCCCTTGGATTCATTCTTTTGGTTCTATCAGTCTTTAGTCTCCTGATGTATTAATTTCTACTTTTATCTTTATTATTTTTGTTGGACTTTCTTTGGATATTTTTTTTTTTTCTCCTAAATACCTGGATTGGCTGCTTCATTTATTTATTACCATTCTTACCTGTTTCACTCCATGGAGTGAAGTGGGTTGCCAGGGGGTGTCTGTATCCCCAGCCCAGCCATGCACAGGGATCTTCTTGTTCCACACTAATGGTCACTGGCTCATTCATGGATGTTTCATCGCCAGGTAGAAATCTGTGTTTTGCCAGCTCTTCCCAAAGTTCCCAGTTCTTTCCATGATTTGCATTTTTAGTGTTCTCGATTTTCCTTGAGGACTGAGTTGCCATTATTATTTATTTTCCTGTGTGCATTTGGTTCATTTCAGAGTGGAAAAAAGGGCAGACTTGCCTTTGATCCACCATATAATCCAAATCCAATGTACTAATTATGTAGGGTTTGATTTGGGCAAACTATATTGTGGGCTGCTGATTTCAACAATTACGCGCAATTCGGAGGAACGGTTACTTGTCACGTCACTTGCTTAGACCAGTCCTCAGAACCATGAAACAAAGCTTTATTTTGACGCACTAAATTGCCCTACCCCTCTGCCATTAGAAATGGCAACAGACAAATCCCAGTTTGATGCATTAATGATTTAAAATAATGCTTTTCTCTCCACAGAGGCATTTCGTGAGTGATGAGTTCTATATACCTGGTGGCTCAGTGTTTCTCATGATTGGAGGTGAAAATGCCACCAGCAAAACGTGGATGTCAAGGAGCATTACCTGGATGGAAAACAGTGAGAGATGAGAGCCCTCTGCTTCCCTGTGGAAACAAAGACTTTATGGACAAAGCCAGCCAACCTCACACACTTAACAAGTTGTTCGTACGCTTTTGTAAACAGGACAATACTCTTCGTGTCTTTCAACTACAATATCACGTTCAGAATTTAAACTTGCAACGATAGATACGCTGTCAGTCTCAAAATTCTCTCCCGTTAGGCTGGGAAGACTTGAAATTAATGAAATTTAAACTCTGAAAACGACCCGCCACTCGGAGGCAGTAGCGACCATTTTATTAAAAACAGTTTGTCACTGTTAAGTGAAATGTCAAATTTTAGCTTTCGGTGGCAACACGGGGACAGAGTAAAAAGATCTAGTTGTTTTTCAGGATCTTATTCTTCCCACTTAGTCTTGTTGTGTTTCGTGCAGTGGAAACATGATTTTTTTTTTTTTTTACCTACTTATAATTACTACATATACAATCAGACCAATTATAAGGTGCTCTAAAAGTTTGAAAGACACCAAATATTTGGGGCCAAGAGTTTGACTCTCTTTTTATTTTTTTTAATGTTTTATTTTTATTTTTGACAGAGACAGAGACAGAGACAGACCATGAGCGGGAGAGGGGCAGAGAGAGAGGGAGACACAGAATCAGAAGCAGGCTCCAGGCTCCGAGCTGTCAGCACAGAGCCCAATGCGGGGCTCGAACTCACAGACTGTGAGATCATGACCTGAGCCGAAGTCAGACGCTCAACCGACTGAGCCACCCAGGCGCCCCTTGACTCTCTTTTTAAAGGGAACATGCATTGCCTTTTTATAGCCCTGAGCGTGCCATTAATGTCAGTGAAATGATATCTTTATTATATGAGTCATAATTCTTGGTACCGTTTAACAGTGGAAAACTATTAATAACTTCAGGTTAATAGCATAGGTCTCTTCCTACCTTCAAAAAAAGTGATTTTGGAATTCGAAGTCGCTGACTCTTTTATGATGTGGTGACAGTCCAGTATTTTCGCGGGCTCTGCATTTCTTCCTTAGAAACTGTGATTTGGGTGTGGGTGTTGTCAGAATTTTGTTATTCCATAAAAGGCTTCAAGGCTAGGTTTTCTGTATTGTCCTGCGACATTTTGTTTTTCAAAAATGGAAGTACTTGACCAAATTCACAGCTTGTAATGATGAAGTCAGGAACAGTGGTTGACTAATACTCTCCATGTAATTAATCTGTAACCCATCAAAGGGATCCAATCACAACCCATTGGCGGTGTGGAGTTGCCTGTTCCTGGGACAAAACTCATTAGCCTTAAGTGTTTACAGTACCCCACCTTCCCCTATTTGCTCCAGAAAATCCTTTATTAGCCGGGTCCCTTCCCCACCTCCCGCGCCTGCTCTACCTTCTAATCATGAAGGACGAGAACACCCTGATGGCTGGGAGGGAGATTAGATTTAACCACACAAGGAAAAAATTCTGGCAAGAGTGAAACAATGATGCTTAAGTTGGTGTTAAGAGAGTAAGAGTTTGGTGTTTGAGAGTTTCCTCAACAGAATTAGGAAGGGACAGAAGCTTCCTCAACAGAAGCAGAAGGGACTGAGGCGGGTTATGACCTCTAACCCTTTTGATGTGCTTTGAGGTGCACCTGCTAAGAATAAAGTTCCCTTTTCATTACTATTGGTTGTTGGGTTGTGCTTCTTTATTTTTGTTTATTTATTTTGTAAAAGTTTATTTATTTATTTTGAGAGAGAGAGAGTGAACGAGCACAAGCAGGGGGAGGGGTGGTGCAGAGACAGAGGGAGATAGAGGGTCCCAAGCAGGCTCCCTGCTGTCAGAGCAGAGACCAACATAAACCCTCATAAACCCTGAGATCATGACCTGAACTGAAGTCAAGAGTTGGAAGTTTAACTGACTGAACCACCCAGGTGCCCCTGGACTGTGCTTCTTTAAACGTGACTTCATAGAGTGGACCCTAAGCAACATGAAACCCCTCCTCATCATTTATTCAGGGTATCTCCTTATCTAGAATGCCAAGTTTAAGTTGATAGCGATTAAGAGATCACTATTCTATTAACTTTGAAACAATAATTTTTAAAATAAATATTTAAAAAGCAAATTTTTTATCATGCATTACTTCATCCTGGACTTCTATTTGTCATGCTGTTATGGTATATGATTATCATGTAATATAATAAGGACTGTATTAATACTTGTATAACATATGTGAGTCATATAAGCCTCTGTTTTAAGTTTATTTATTTATTTTGAGAGCGTGTGCATGCACACACATGAGCAGGGGAGGGACAGAGAGAGAGGGAGAGAGAATCCCAAGCAGGCTCCGTGCTGTCAGCACAGAGCCCGATGTGCGACTCAATCTAACAAACCAGGAGATCATGACCTGGGCTGAAATCAAGAGTCAGACGCTTAACCTACTGAGCCACCCAGGTGCCCCAAACCTCTGTTTTTTAGTGGCATTTTTTGATAACTTTTTTTTTCTAGTTTTAAAACTGGCATTTTGGGGGAAAGTATAGAAGATTACAGAGAAAGACATGTTATTCATAGTCTGACCTATTAAATTGTTGCTAAAATCTTGGCTTTCAAAACAAAATGTATCTAAGGTTTTATATCTTATTTTTTTTTCTTCTGTAATAACATTGCTATGGTTGGGAAAGGTAGTTTTAATTCTATAAGCCTAGCTGATTTTTTTTTCTAAGAGAAAGAAATGGAGAATGGATATTTGGGGACAGCCAGCGTTCTCTGTCACAGGTTTCTAGTAGTGAAATATTGGGTCAAAAGTTCCTTTGCCTTCGGAAGATCCTGATATAGGTCCCAGAGTGTTCCCCAGAAATGTTCTCCTACTTTATTCTGTCCAGTAGTCACTGGAGTGCCTGCTTTATCTAGCTTTTGGTAACATTTAGTATTATCATCGACACAGGTATTTGACAGTTTGATAGGTGAAGAAAATAAACCATTGCCAAATTTGCACTTTTCTGATTAGTAGGACTAAATGTCTTTTTCATGTGTTCATTGGCCATGTGTATTTCTTCTATGTGAAGTGTTTTTTTTTAAATGTCTTTAGCCCCTATTTGATGTTTACACTCAGCCACGTGGGGCATTATTCTACTTGAAATTAGTATCTCCAGCAAGGAGATAGGGGGTAATTTTTTGTTGTTGTTCTTTGGTGTTGAAGATTAAAAACAACCTTAACACACACGATGGACTTCCTTAGCCTTACCGAAAACCCTACTGAAAAACAACAGAACGGTAAAGTGTTACTTGCTCCCTTATAACTTAGGAAATTCAAGCCCATATTGGCTTTCTCTGGATGCAGCAGGCAACCCAAAAAGACTAGAAAATATCCTCCATGTGATTAACCATGGATCCTCTAAAGTCTCAGAAAAGTAGCGAAGCAATGCCAGCTTATCTCTTTCCACTAAGGGCTACGTTTGGAGTCCTGCCGATAGCTTACTGCGAGGGGCGCCCAGTGCCTCAGGGAAGGCCATCTTGCCATGGAGGGGAGTCTGGAGCTCCCATCAGGTGCGCCCAGGTCGGGAAGGACAAATGCAAATGAGACTTGAGAAATAGAAACTCCTCCTCCTCCTGCTGCCTGCCTTTGTGTGTAACTCTTCACCAGAATGTCCTTCTGCCCATTCTCATTCAAGTGTTTCAAGTGGAATGGGGGTAAAAATCTCAATGTGTTTTCAACATTTGCATTTTGGCCTCCTGGTCAAGCAGGTTTAAGTGCCATGTTATTTTGCCCTAACGGCTGTCATAAGGAAGTGTGATTGCGTTTTAATTATAGAGACCTACGTACTTATAGCCTCCTCTATCTCCGCAGCAGCCAAGCCCTGCCAACTTCCAAAACATCATGGCAGAGAAAATGGCATTTGCCAACAATACATGGGTGTCATTTGGTGGTTCTCAGGCAGGGTTCCCTGCAGTGTGGTTGAGAATAAATACCCCAATCTGTTTGCTGCAGCTGTGGGCAACAGTGGAATGATCCAAGCAAAAGCTGACCTTTCTGATGAGTACACATTTGACAGAGAAAGATATTTCTGTAAGTGGGTGAACCACTTCCTACGTCAGTTGATCACTCACAGGGCCATCCGATTTGAGCTG